GATTAACCCAGTTTATTCTTCCTCGATACAAACTTTAGTAATACACAGTATTTCCACAGTCACTTTAAACTTAACTCTTATAACACACGCTATAAATCACAGTGATTCACACACTTTACATACGGTGCCTACTGTTAGCTTGACTCAATTATCTATCTGCCTATCACTGGCCTCTCTTCCAGGCTTATATATTAAAAAAGAGGGCATCTCGATCAGACTAGAGTTGCCGGCAAATTCATGATCCTTCGAGAAACTCCAGCGCACATGCTCCTAGAGTCACGTGATTTCCGCTGTCGTAACAACAGTACTTCAGTTGATAAAAAAGTCTGACTATTCTTAACTGACCTGTTATAATATTGGCGCATTCTGCAACTATATTTTTATCTGTTAATTCTCCAATATAGTTCGGTTGTGTGCAGTAGGCCTTGTTTTTTAGAAATACCCACAAGAAGTCGAGCGGGTTGAGGTCAGGAGAACGTGGCAGCCAATCTATTGACTAGGGAACACATTATTAAGTCAATCTCAAACCTATCTACTGTGATGAGTAAGAGCACGGTTTTGTTGGAAATAATATTCACGTTCGGAAGGTATCGGGATAAATGTAATTTAAATCAGAGCCAATTTCATCTTGAAGCATCTATTAAAAAGTGGACTATTTGTACACCTTAAAAATAGCGAATATAAAAGAAAAGATATTAAAAGAGTACAAATTTACCAAGAGAACTTTCTAATAACTCTGAGAAAGCCTCGAAACAACATGGAACAAAATATGTAATTCTGATAAACTTCACTTTTTATATAGCCCCCGCACCCCTCCAGTGGCACAGCGGTATGTCTGCCGACTTACAACGCTGGAAACCGGGTTTCCATACCCGTAGCGGGCAAACCACAGATAGCCAATTGTATAGCTTTGTGCTTAACTTCAAACAAACAAAACCACTTTTTATTTGAAAATTGCATTAAAAAACATAACAAATTAGAGGGAACTCAGTAGAGAGCATACCTCCGCCACGCAGCGTTGATCATATTCGACTTTCAAAATGTGATAATTTTTGACTGAGCTAAAATCGGTCCCCATGTTAACAGATAGGGATTTTTTTATTTTAGTGACCTTGGCCCTTCAAAAACTAGTCACTTATAAATTGTGTCATAGTCCAAATGTATACCAACTTTCGTCCAAATAATTCGGCTGTTTTCGAGAAATCTTGCTGACAAACACACACACAGGGGTGAAAATATAACTTACGTCCACCTACAATGACAACTGCCGTAAACAAGATGAGGAACAAAATATTCATACATTTAATGTAACTTAGAATGTATGAACTGGTGACTTAACTGGATTCTGTTAAGAGTTGTCACATAATATTAGATATGTTACCTTAATTTATTCATATGTTACTTGTACTTGAAGTCCTTAAAATTACAAATAAGCAGAAATTATCATTGGTTAACAAGTACGTGTATAAGACTCATGGTGAATAATATAAATATTATATATTTGTTTTTAAACAAAAAGCTACACAATGGGCTATCCGTGCTCTACCCACCACAGGTATCGAAGTCCGATTTTTATTGTTAAAAGCTCTAAGATTTATCGTTGAGTCACCGGGGACAATACGAATATTATTTCAACTAAAACATAAATGTTGAACTCAGCTGGCATTGTGTAAGAATCATCATCAACAAAGGCTAAAAATTTAAGCTTTCTTTTTACTAGTAATGATACTGGATCAGCTACGAAAATGAAGTGTATATAAAAATATTTTATAATTTCCTCAAAAAATGAAGAACTAGACATTAAAAATAGACAAAAAGCTGGGTAATAATTAACTGTAGTCGAGATTTCAAACTTGTTCAACGTATAAAATTTGTAGAAGAAAAGTCAAACAATGTATCAATCATCTTCAAGTTATAAAAACTTTGGATAAATGTTTCAATTGTTTTAAAGATGTTAAAATTTAATAATAATAAGTTTAATGCTTAAATCTTTCTAAGTATATTAGTATTAGTGGAAGGAAAGGTTGTTATATTTTCAAGATATATATATATATATAGGAGAGAGAATCAGTATTTCATGAAGTTAAGGTTTGTTAGATCAATAAGTTAATTAATTTTGAATTCCCCTTTTTTTTAACATATTAAATCAAATTTTTCAAACTTGTCAATAGTTCAATCCTCTTCCACCTTAAACAGGTAGATAAAATATTGATGCATCTTTGTCAAAATATTAAAACACTTGGTGAAAAATGCTAGTCAGTCAGTAGTTCTATAAATATTTGAATTGAAAAAAGGGTGGTCAATGTTTCAATCATTTTAGCGACTAAGAATTGACAGAACATATGGTCAAGGTTTAAGTCTTTCTCAAGATGATCAATGCTTCAAACCCACTTTAGAAATATAATGATTAAAGAAAAAATACAATCAAATGTTTCAATCCTTTTAGAAATACTAGTATTCATGAGGCTTCATCCTTCCTACATAAATCATTGAAAAATTTATTTAATCTTTCTACGAATAAATTGTTAGAAGAATAAAAATATAAATTCAACAGGTTTTCTGTTACTTGAAACATGAATTTTGGTTAGACAGTGACCCAAAATCTATATATATATCTTTGACACTGCCAGAGAGACTAAAGATGTAGGTCATCTTCCTTTCACTCCCAATGATAGTGCATGACATTTATTTCTGATGACCTGAAAAGTAATTTTCCTCCAACACTCCGAGATATTCGAATACTTGTTATGTACTATTCTACTTTCTGGTGGCATTAAAGAGGCGAGAATCTTTACACTAAGTTCCTAAAGGTAATGCCCGATATAAAGAGGGAAGCAATATTAACCCTAAACCCATAAAGGTAATGCCTAATATGCTGTTAACGTCCAGTGATATTAAAACTCCTGGTTAATTTCCATTAGTTTCTTGTTATATGTTCAACCTTTTTCCTTTTTTTCCGTCAAGCAACTTTGAAAGTACATGATTTTTTTTCTTCTTCTTACTATCCTAGTGCTAGTGTATGACGTGATCTTTGCTATCTCTTTTAATTTGATCTTTTTCTAACAATTTTCTTCAATTTTAGTTACTTTAAAATGTAGGGCTCATGTCCTCATTTTTGGTAACTTAAAATTGCTGATAATTCCACTCGTTAAGTCTATAAATCACTAAGTTACTGCCTTCTTGAATCCCTAAATGACACGACATCACAGTAGTATAAGGTGAAAATCACTATTATCTACCTCTAGTAACTTTTACTTTTGTTTCCTTGTCAATTTTATTTGGGTGCTCTTGAAAGTGCCAGGTGTTTTCTTAATTTGCAGATTCTATGGAATACGTTATTTTAAGGTGGCAAGAGAAAAAAACAAAAAAAAAAACAACCCCACGTAGCAAATAATACAATAATATTACAACAGTATCTGTATACAAGTCAGCTATGCGTAGGTAGAAAGGTAGAACCACGGTAAACCTACTTTTATTACTGACTACACCTAAATATTAAGTCATTGTTAACTATTTTCTAACGCCCTAAAAGATTAAACTCTGTTTGAACATAAAAACTCCCTTTTTTCAGAAAGAGTAACTATATGCTTTTATCCAAAACTATAATAACTTCACTAGACTGTGTAAAATACAGGTTTCTCAGATGCATGCTACACAAACAGTAGTTCTAGCTGTTATTTGTTTTTAGAGCAAAGCCACCTTGGGCTATCCGCATCGTGGGGAATCGAACCCTGAATTTTAGCGTTGTAAGTGTAAAGACTAACCGCTGTACCACCGGGGGACTTGGTTTTAGCTCTGGACATGCAAACCTCAATCCAAAGCTACATTAAACATTTTATGTCGGGAAATCAATCGCTTTTATAAAGGGAGAACAGAAATCAGTCATGTAAAATAATATGTTAAGAAAACTCGGATAGTTTTCTATCTAGTAGATTATTTCGTATTATAGCCCAACTATAAAAAAAAAAAAGTCTGAAGTCCGACTTGAATAAAAATAATCACTTACCTGCTGATATAAAAAAAAGAAAACAAACGAGAAGACCGAACGAAAATTCCAGCAGGTTCATGTTCACGTGATGATTGAGACAGTACTGAGGAAACACGTCTTTGGCACTCTCTCCAACTGCCACACTAAGACACAGTGACCTACTTAAGACAACCAACCGACACGCAGCTGCGGCTCACAACCAGTCATAACGAATCGTCCAACAAAATATCAAAACCTACCTATCACGACAGTGCTTCTCAGAAAGTCTTAAGAAAATGCAATTTTTTCAAAACTTATTATTTGTGTATGAAAACTTGTTAATGGTTTTTGTTTCTATTATTCTTTTAACACTGGCACAGACCGAAGGGTGATGAAAAGTAAGCTGTAAATAATATCTCCAAAACTCAATAATACTTTTTTTTACAGAATGTAATTCATGTTATTTCGTGGTCGATTTTAAAATTTACTTATCGCTTCAACCCGTAAGTGACTTCAACTTATTTTAACCATGCAATTGTTTTAACGAATTTCGCAAAAATATGAACCGTTAGTATTCTCTCAAAAGGTCACAGACACCCCCCCCCCAGTGGCACAGCGGCATGTCTGCGGACTTACAACGCTAGAATCCGGGTTTCGATACCCGTTGTGGGCTGAGTACATATAGCCCATTGTATAGCTTTGTGCTTAATTACAAACAAACACAGACCCACACCCACCACCTTCATGTCTTGTTGATAAGTTAACTAAAGGTCTCCTAGTTGCACTATTTAAAAGTTGGAATACTTTGTTAAATTATTATTTCTAACTTTATTGAGAACCCGTTCATTATATTTGCATGAAGAGAGAAACATTGAAAAGGCGAATCATCTTAAACCTAAAAGTAATTGTTGATATCGTTTTACTAATAACATTTATTGCGCTATTTACAGTTTCCCAGATGATTCACCCTTGTATGAGAAACAAGTTAAATGTATCGCAAATCTGTTGAAATATTAATAAATTGTTGTTACTACTCAATGGCAAGTCACATTGTTTTCTATATGTTTAGGCCTAGTAACACAATTCTATAACGTTATAGGGATGCTTTCTTTGCTACTTACTCTCCCATGCATATTGTGAAAGTTAGACAAAATGGCTCAAGACAGTAAAACACAGAGTGGAGTTAAGAGAAATTTGTTTTCCTCATTCCTCAAAACATACAAACTTATAAATATATTTCACTATTGACGAAAAACTAGTTAATACGACTTTTGTCGTGAAATCGTTTTGAATCTGACATTATACAACGGTTCGACTTTAAAACAACATTCACTAGGGCAACTTTTCAAAGATAAACAGACAAAGCTACAGGGATGGCGGGCGATCTGTCAGATGATAAAAAAATTAATCTACATATATAACGGAAAGCCCAGGAAGATCACCATAAAAAATGTTCAACTTGATTTGCCTTCTACAAAACACTGGCAGATATCAGTACAATTGTGTTTCCTTTAGATGAAACAATCAACGATAAACATGTAACACTACACATTGTTTTAGAAACAACAGCTAACTTCATTTTCATTGAATGAACAAAACGAAGAAATTTAGTTCAAGAGGTCAGTGATCTATAAAATCTTCTATACTCGGTGCATACACGTGCTCATTTGGCAACACTTTGCTATAAAGGGTTGTCTTACTGTGTAATAATTGTCTAAGTTGCTACTGTTAAAAGGTCACGACACAATTTCACTTAACATAAATTATAGTGCCGAGGACCAGAACTGTTATTGTTTATTATTAAGCACAAAGCTACACAAAAAGTTATCTGTGCTCTGCCCACCACGAGTTTCGAAACCCGGTTTCTAGCAGCGTAAGTCCGGAGACATACCGCTATGCCACTGGGAGGAGACGAGAACTGTTTTCTAAAAGATGTTTTACTTTCATCCATAGGCATAACAGCGACTCCAGCCAAGTTAGTGGATGAAGTAACACTATCTACAGGAGTGAATTTCTGGCCATGCCTGGTGGTGTTGTTCCGAATGCTGGAGTACCACTATTCTTATGTTCGTAAACAGATCTAAACACTTTTGAATAGAGTTGTAGCTACAAGTTCTTGAAATACCTACAGATTGATACGTTTGTTTTTTGTGAGTGTAAAACGCTTAAATACGCCATTTCGAGATCTAAACACTGTTTATTCCAGTTGCTATAAAAAAGGGTGCCAATATATCAAATTATTTCTTGTTCAAATTATCCACTGCTACATTTTTTCAGGGTTTTCCCTTTTATATAACATGGCCCCTGTTTTTGATACCACATCATTAGACATTATATAAATTAGTTGACCCTTTTATTTTATCTTTCTTGTTCATGTTTACCGTACAGATTTAACAACTACTACTGGCCTTCTGCTTTAGAACAAATTGTAGGTAAAATATCTTTGATTCCAGATTTTAAACAAACATTACTACATTTCCTGTATAAAAATGTATAAGAAAAATGTTTTATGTAATTGCAGAAAGTAAAAAATAATAATAATTAACGCATACCGTTTCACTATCTATTTAGAATTAGTTCAACGTTATGATGTCATTTAATACAATATCAATATCGAAAGAATTTTACCATAAAAACCATTAACCATAGTGCATAGCTTTCAAATACTGTCTCATTTATCTAACTGCTACCTTAATAATGACTCGTATTCTAAACATGTTTTTACTAGCTACAAGTAATGATAAATAGTCCATCATTTTTCAAATATATTCCGTTTCTCATGGGTAAAAATGAATGGTAACTCAGTTAACAAGAAACGATTTTACCTGCACATTCTTTCACAAAGTCACTTTTAAAACAAATCTATGTTAAATGTTATCGAACTCTAAGATATAGGCTTAATGAAATATAAGAGTAACATTCTAACTTCTTTAACCCTACACTGTCCTGTGCATCACTTGTGATTCACGGGACATTATGCTAAAGCGCCTAAGTATCATATGTGATACACAGCTACATTTACTGATATGCAGCTGATGGTTGTGAATGTGGTAATAAGAACTGGTTGTTTTGATTCAACGTATTAGATTAGAAGAGCTTCATGTGAACATTACATGTGATGCTCAAAGCGTATGGCAAATAGGTTAAGTAGTCAATTAAGCATATCCATGTAAACCATTAAAAGATCTAGAACGGGGAAAGGTGTAAATAAATATGTGATTGAATAGTGTTAAGTAGCCTTTGGTAGATAGCAAATTTTCAAGTTAGCATTAGAAAAATAACACAGTACCTTTAGTAATGAATGGATTGTAGCATAAGTTGATACCTAGACAGACATAAGATGAGCAGAAATTAGTTAACACAAGTTTCCTTTCTTATCAAATGTCTTTATGTTGCATCTTGGTCAAACTGCAGCATTTCATAATCATTGCTACAGCCCAGAATAAGCTTGATTATAGCATTTATAAACTATAGCTGTACAAAGACTAAGAAACGTCTAAAAGCTACTATTTTAACTATGCTGAACATGGGAGAAGCTTAATTATTGGATGGATTTTATAAAATGTTAGTGAAAAGTAAACAATAAGGTGATGGAGATCTTTCAAGTAATGAATAGATTCTGTAAGAAAAACAAAAATCAGATAATTTCTGGAACATTTGTTTGGATAATAAGTAGAATACTTGAATGATTTAAAATAATCATAACCTTCATATTCATAAAAAAGAACTTAATCTCTTTAGAAATTAAAACCATTTAGTTTCACATTTTTATCTTATACAGTCATGACAAAAAACTGCTACATTTTATATCAAACCAATCATATCTAAAAAAATACCAGTGGATGTTTCTGGAAGAAATTAACTTTGAATATTCAACTTATCAACTAAACATTTTTATTAATATTTTAACTAGGTTTCAGTCGTTACAAAACAGATGCACAAACAAAAAAAAAAAAACTGAACCCAAATAACCTTTTTCACAGCTGTGTTTGTTGTGTGAGTGAGAACATACCAAATTAATCCACTAGAGGCTTTCTGTGTTCTTGGCTTATAACATCTCTCATTACTAAAACGAAAACTTAGAAAGAAACTTCATTTTGAAAGATTAAAAAAAAAAAGCCAAAAAAAAAGAAGAAAAATTCATTTTTAACAGTGATGTTTCTACAGAGTTATAATAAACATTCTAATGTATACACTGCTCCAGTAAAAATACTAAAAACCTAACATGTCTTCCATTAGCAACAAGTTAAACATTATTATAAATAATTCTACCAACAACTTATTGTTGAAATAAGTATTGTTGAAATATTGAATTATTTTGTTTATATTTTTGCACTGTAATAGTTGATTGGTACGTAGAAAACCTTCATGCAGGTAACCACTACCAGTATTAATACCTCAATTGAGGACCTTGTTTCTTTCTAGAAGTCGAACAATCATTCCTCTTCTTTAATCAGGAGAAACTCTAAATACATTTCTAATTAAGTGGTTGTTGGAGAAGTAATGGATTAAATCAACTTCAAGTTAACTCACGTTACAAAATGAGCAAAAGAATAAGGTACTAGTAAAATTAATAATGTAAAAAAGCTATTGCACTATATCTTTTTTTATGTTAAAAAATGGACAAATATTCCCTGAAGGTTTTAATCACCACTCCCCGAAGATGGGAAATAGTGAAAGTTATATATATATATAAATATATATATATCTGTGTGTATGTGTGTGTAAAGGAAATCACTCCAAATTATAGATAAAAACAAAATCTATGTCAAATCACATATTTCCACAATGATTACCAACTTGATACAAATTTGGATATTCCAAAAACTAAATTATTGTTATATGCCATAAAGAATAACAGCAAGACACCCCAGTATTTTATAATATTAATAATTATACTTGCACAAATAGTTCAAGTCAACATTCAAAATTTACTAAATAATAGAAGGCACTAATATTACACAACACTTGCTTAATATTTGTCACGATCACCCAGTTCAATTTTATATTCAGTGGCAGGCTTCAGTTCTGTTGGAACAACCTCCTAGGCATCAACATACTGTAACCAACTATATGTAATATATTGGCATTTCTATTCACTGTTCAAAAACTTGATCTTGGAGATGTTCTCTCTATTTTTTTTTACATGAACGTAAATGATATGTATTGTTTAATACTTTCTTCTTCCAAGGTAGGGTATCCTTAGCTTGAACAACAGAATGTGGACTTCTTTCCTGGACTTTCTAAAATTAAATCTTCATTTTTTTCTACGGAAAAAAAACATGTAAAAATACTGATTGAAAATAAATTTTTATTGTAGTCTTCATTGAGCTAATTTCTTGTTCACTTATTTTTAATTACAACAAATTGTGGCATTTTTTCTGAAAAAGTTTTATGATACACTGTGGTATTGTTGTTTTTAAACAGTTTCTACAACATTGAAACACTAAACTTCAAGTGGTCTGTACAATATAATTCAGAACTATCATAGTCAAACAATTTATTACAAAACATCATTTTGTGTTAAAGAATTGTGCACTTTATTTTGTGTAAAACTTGGTGATATTAGTTTTATTGTTGTGAATAAATATAAAATACTTACCATAGCTTCAAATCATCCATAATTTAATCAAGATATCTGACAATGTTATGGAGTTGGAGTACCACAACTTGAACAAAATCATAACAGCTAAGTTCGGTATTTAAAGTTCTATATCAAAACCATAAAATTAATGGATAATTATTTTGTGTCCTGAAACAGTTTGAAAGAGTACTTCAAAGTAGGAAACAAATGCTTATAAGTACTTCTGCTATGTATTCAACAAAATTTTATTTACAGTACTTTAAAATGCATTTACACCAATACCTTTTGAAGAAGGCACATATTTATTCACAAAATCCATTGCTATTTGCGTGAACAGCTCCCCTGTGAATAGAAGTATACGAAACAGTCAAACCTCACCAACTATTACAGTTACAGATATCCACAGTTAATAGACTATCATGAAGCTTTTTTTCCAATAAATCATATAACTTATTTACAAAATATTATAACTGTAGCATGATTGTTTCTTTCATAGTTTTTGTTAGATAAATGTAAAAAATAATTTGTAAAATTAATAAAGTAATTCCTATTAAGAACAAAATAAAGAACACTTTGAAAGCCACTGAGAAGGTTATATTGAATGTACTTGGATATTAAAACATATTAATTGTAAATGGTAACTTTTACTAAACCTGATGGTGTTTTGAACACTACAAAGCATTATCACCTGTTGATTATGAGCATAAAGAAAGCTATCTTAAAACTATTTCATAGCATTGAGAAAAACAACTACTTGATGGATTCAACCACAACTTACGAACACATTCCCCTGTCTTACTAGATGTTTCAAAAAGATTAGCACCAATCTCATCAGCATAGTCAGTGGTAGTGTGGTAATCAATTTTCCTGCATTGCCGGTCCTCCTGAACTAAGTCTTTTTTTGTTCCACATAGGTAAATCATACAATCCTAGTATACAAATCATTATCGATGTAATTATAGAAAACACACATAACACACAGAGAAAAAACCCTATGTAATTAACCCTCTAGCTATCGAAAGGTCAAAAGGTGCATGTCATGGCATTTTGGAGAGTTATTTTCAAAATTTAATCCCCCCCCCAGTAGCTCGGTGGTATGTCTGCAGGCTTTAAACACTAAAAATTGAGTTTCAATAGTTGTGGTGGGCAAAGCTTCGGATAGTCCATTGTGTAGCTTGTACATAACAACAAAAAATTGAACCAAAATGTAATCAAATAACTATCATCATTATATGTCAATCAGATCGGCATCACAATGTAGTTTATAATACAAATTTTAATATATGTTTTTCTTTTTAGTGAATCATATGGCATGTCTCCTTGTTTTATTGTTCAGTAAATATTTTATTCCACTTACCAAACAATGTTTATAGTGGTTAACGAATTAGAAACTCACATTTCAGACATTTACAAGCTAGAATCTCCAACTTTTTTGATTTGCTGAGATATCGATACGTTTTGCAAATGTAGCCCCTCCCCTACTACATTCTGTTGAGACCTCTTGTCTACTCATATCTACTTTTCGAAGTACATGTTCATAACCAATAGGTATTTATACAAAACATTTTGTGTACAGACACTTATTTCATTTATAGTGATTCCATGTTTTTACAGGTCTTTACTTTAAATCTAAGTACAACTGTTTTATTCATATCCAACTACATAATACAGTAACAGCATTATTTAAAGAAATTATATATCTAAAATATATGCCCTTCTTAAATATATAGTATTCCACTTAATAATGCTACTCACATAAAAAAAATATTTGGACTTTGGCTCATGTGGCACGGCACATGCTTCACTTTTTAACTTTGTTTGTTAAACAATGTTTCAACAGTCAAATAATTTTAGTACATACATCATATGCAAAGCACGAGTTTATCCCCTAGTAAATCATTTTTGTCTTTGACATATACAAAGTTTTATTGTAACAATGAAATTGTTACCTTGTTTGCTTTGATGACTGTTATTCATTTCTTCTATCAAACTTCTGAAACTCTTTGATGTCCATTTAAAACAAAAAATTGATGCAAAAACATGTACATAATAAATCTTACAGAGACTTTTTAGATTATTCATATTTCCTTCTCTGATTTTACTGCCAACAAATGTAAAGATAATGTCCATACAAACCTCCTCAAATTTCTTTAATTCATCCACCCAAAATTTAACCCTTTCAAAACTGCTGCTATCTGTGAGGTCATAACAGACAATAGCTGCTTTGGCACCTCGATAATATATCTTACTCATTGCTTCATATCGTTCACTTCCAGCAGTATCCTTGGAGATAAATAAAGGAGAAAATGTATCTTACCATGGTATTTGTAGAACAAAATCAAAACGTGAAATCTAGTCTTACTTTTTACAGAAAATAATGTTACAATGTAAATAACATAGAATCATTTCTTCACTAAGAGAAAAACATTCACTGTGCAAGTACTTAATAGAATAACTTATATTTTCCTCCTTTCACAGAGCTTACTTTGGAAAACTAATTAAACATAGGTTAACACAGTAAAAAACAAAACAAAATGATCCTAACTATGCTAACACCTCCAATATAAATTTGTATTTGTATTTTTGCTTCTCCACCCCCAATTATTGCTGTTATTGAGCACTTACTACCTTTGACTAAGTTACCGTTAACTACACATTCACAGATTGCACCACTTACTTACATCAAATAGAAAAAAACTTTATTAAATTTTCTATAACACAACATAAACAAAGTGTCGGGGAAGGCCACATAAATGTCTTATACATTTCAGACAGTGTGCTAGCATTCTCTATGGGGTAATGCAATGAATAATATGGCCACCACTATTGTAATAATACATAAACTCAGCTGAAGTTTCTACTCCAACAGCCACAATAAGGCTGATATGAAGAGCTGTTTTTTTTAGTTATACCCACTTCCTACTTTGAGCTGTAACCTTTCAACTTTGGCCCGTAAGACACTTCTGCGGCTAATGACCATCAATTAACTAATCACTTGAAACATTGTGGAAGGACATTAAGAGGTGGGTGTTGAAAATGGGTAACAGAAAGCACTCCAACTATCACTACTTTGGCCACTATCTCTTCCTACAAAATCACCCTGACCATTGCACAGTGTATACCATGTTTGAAGTATATACATATTGAGTTCTTAAAGCTTATACAAAATGTTTGGTAAGGTAATAATGAATACTGTAATAATATGTTTTGTTATAAATAAATTGTGTGAAAGTTAGAATTTTTGTGTTATTTATCATAGCATCCACCACACATTTTATTAATTCATAACTCAAACAAAGGATGGGTACCTCAGCTTGTTTATTATAAATTAAAATTTGAACTAAAAACCTTGTAGGCTATTAGAATTTTGAAAAAATCTACAAAATTAAAATCATAAAATTGAAAAGAACTGCTTAAATTGCGCATAGCTGTTTGCAAAGTAAAAAAAAAAAGATTCAATCCAGTAACAGAATTATTATAACACAGTTGATACATCACAGAATTATAAAATGGGAAAAAAAATTAAAATATCTATAAATACATGTCTCTGCCTGTTTACAAGCTACCCCACTGCATAATTTAGTTATTTATCAAACAATGCATTATTTTGCAATTGTTTATTTGTTTTTTTAAACTCATCTCTGGTTGAAAAAAAAATGTTGGTTTAACAGAAAAACAATTCAAAATTAAGTTGCAATAAAAACTTCTGTTTAATTTCGAAATGCAACACGAGACATTTTGGGTTAAACTAATGTCAGACAAAACAAAGAGATTATGCACCAGCATCTTATGCTTCTAGATTTATAGTTTATTGCATTCTACTTTAGTTTTACTTTGTAATTCATTTAATATGATTATTCTACTAAATAAGTAATTATATTTATTTGTTTTAAATAACATTTTCAATGAACATACACATATTGTGAGCATAATCATACCACCATACTCAGATTTAACTTGTTCCAAATCTTTTTTCTATAAAATACAAACAGTTGCAAATACGAACGAAAATTTTCTTAAATAATGAGCTACTTTGATACAATAACATAAAATAATATATATATTGGACCACAGTTTAACTCACTATCCAATTTTAAAACTACAAACCTAAATTATTTGCAATCCATTCTTAATACTTTCATCTTACTGATATTTAACTGTTTAGAATTTTGCAAACTGGATCAATGTGTCACTTAAGTTCAACTTACCCAAATTCCCATTGTTATCTGTTTGTCATCAAGCTGAATCTTTTTTGCTCCAAAAGCAGCACCAATAGTCTGTGGAAAACAAAATGTGTGAACATTAATAAGAATAACCAAATATATTATAATAATGTTAAATTACCTTTCAACTTTGATTTTATGTTAAATGATTTTCAACTTTGATCTTATATTCAATGACTATGTAATATCGAAATATAAAAAAACAACCAAAAGAGCTAATTTTTTCTAACAGCTAATCAAAAGAACTCCCATTTATTCTAACTGATAATTTCTCTGTTCTCATTAGCTACCATTAGATGAAAAAAGTATAATTATAATTTCCAACTGAAAAATTGAATAATTTATTTTATAGGATTAAATGTATTTGTTTGAATGTGTGGAAATGTTTATTGGTTGAAATTCTATATTAATCAATTAAATAAGCTTTTCCTAAATTGGAAAAACTAACTTTAACATTACATACACTGGTATAGAAGCCTGTGTTGGAAGATTCATTTGTAAGACAGGAATTCAAAAATAGTTATAAACATTTGAAGGTTCATCAGGTGGTATTCATGCAAAGTTAGATTTGTTTTTTCTCTTAACAGAAACTATTCAACAATGTTTAAATAGTAGTGGCACATTAAATGTCAGTTACACGAAAAATTTTATCTTTCAATTTGTATACTGTCAATTAGTTAAAACACACACATACACCATTAAAATGTAATACACACCATCTTGTTCCATACAACCAAAAATATTTGCTAACACTATAACTTTAATGTTGAAAAAGGAGCACATGCGTAACTGTACACTCCCTTCTCCATGGCAGATGTCTAATTAATTAACAATGCTATTAAGAAAAGTGACTTATAAAAACATACTCTCTTGTAACTTTTTGTTATAGTTGAAGGTCCATATTTATTTTCAAGCTGAGTTGTTAGTGTTACTCTGTTCTGTTATGTTGATTACCTATTATTAATAATGTATAATGTTTGTTTAATTAATCAACAATATTATGTTAAAAAAATTATTGTTAACCTGCTTGGAATGGTGACTACTGAATAAAAATTTGTTTTGCTTAATTCAGCTGCAGTTATTTTAATTGGCTGAAATAGGGTACTCTTGCAGTATAATATTATAGTATGTAACTATATTAATAATACGTGTAGCATCAAATGCAGGTTCATAAACAATGTGCATTTTTAATTGCTGTTTAAAATATAAAAACATTATTACTGTTATATATATACCATTTTAACTAAATGTGAATGTTTTGTTTCAAATATGTGGATTACGTATAAAATAAAAAGGTTTTCAAAGAAATAAACTAGTAGTTACAGTTATGTCATTAGGGAGTAATGCAAATTAGTACAACCAAATGTCAAAATCTACCCTTCGTTACACCCTACTGATATATAGGTCATTTAGACTAATTAAAAACCAGAGAAATAAATAAGAATAGTAACAACGAGTTTTGGGAAGTTTCATAATATCTGTGGGATAAGTTAGAATTTGTGAATTGTGTGTTAGACCATTTAAAATATTTTCTAAAATATTTTACTTACTGAGCCTGAAGTAATTACACAGGCCTGCAAATTTAAACTTCATAAAAGTTGTTTTGGTTTTAATAACAGATTTTCCATAATTCAGCTATGCAGATTTCAAAAATATTCATTTTTTTCTATCACAAAGATATTTTACAAATTGAGAAGAAAAAAACTCAAATTATTATTTCATTTACCACAATGAACATTTTTGATTATCATGATAGTTAAAGTACAAAAAAATTGAAGAAAAGGGAAAAACATTGATGTCAAATGAACATGCATCCTCATTCATCCTGATTTTTTTTGTGAAATCTACATCTTTTAGTCTCAAACTACATGTTTTGGTCTTTCTTTTATTTATTGCATCTGGAGAATCTTGTTTCAATGAATGTTCCACCTTCCCTGATACCCCCTCTCCATTTTCTCCTTGTTCTTCGCTGATGGCACCAAGGTTTCAGGGAAGTAATCAATATGCGAGTATAAGAAATGAACTTTCAAGCTCATATTACAACCCAACTTTTTGAATTTATCGAGCATGTTATCAACAATATTTTTGTAACCAGGGTCCTTGTTGTTTCCTAAAAAGTTGTCAATAACATCTTTAAAGGCAATCCACATCTCTTTTTTTCAACTTTCCTCATTGTCTGTTCATCTAAAGTCAATTTCCTAATCTGAGGCCCAACAAAAATCCCTTCTTTAAGTTTTGCTTCTGGAAGAGCTGGGAATTGCCCTCATAAATATTTGAAACAGTTGCCATCTTTGTCTAAGGTCATTACAAATTGCTTCATCAAGCCCAGTTTTATGTGAAGTGGAGATAATAGGACTTTCTTTGTGTTAACCAAACTTTCACGTTCAATGTTTTTCGATCATGGTATCAAGCTGACTCTGCATGGTCATTGCTTCTTTATCCAATGCTGATTGTGTGCTCTGCTGTCCCATTCACACAAAATACATGGAAACTTTGTAGAACCAGATTGTTGACCCAACAACATACAAAGGACTTTTAAGACTCCAGAAAGTAGCCGATGTTATCATTTTCCTAAATTGAAAATGTGTTTCCAAACATACTTACCTCTGCTGACACTAATAGCTATTTCTCGATCTTCATCTTTTCCATCTAACATTGTGTTCACTTACTCCAGTCTTTATATTCCCCACTTGACTGCCCTCGGCAATATATAATTTGCAAAACTTTACTGTGGCCCTCACACACCCTCTATGCAGATACTGTATATAAGCACTGTATGCAGACAATAAAATCACTTGTTTGGGGCTTACCACATTCTGGTCACTAACAACAGCTCTTAGTATGGAGGAAGGGAGGGAGAGTGTCAGCAGAGGTAAGTATGTTTGGAAATACATTTTCAGTTTAGGAAAATAATAACTTCCAAACATACATACCTCCACTGACACTAATAGCTAGATTCCCACACTGAGAAGGTGGAGGGGCCAGTGAGGACAGAGATCATACAGAAAGTGTCTGCAGAGAACAAATATGTACCACGAGAAGTGGTATGAAAGTGGGGAACACTGCACTACATCCAGAACAGGTATGCTCTTCTCTCAGCACTGCAGAAAATTAAAAAGGGTGGAATATAATACAAGTATGATGGTCCAGCCTCGACCAAACAGCCGAGGTTCTACAACTCGGGTTGGATTTAAGGGGTCATGGTACCCATATCCCACGTTGGTGGCCAGGGCAGTTGGACTGCAGATATATATATATATCTTTGTGATAGGATCCCTACCAGTAACCATAGAATGATGCATTTTGAACCACTGGACTTATGAAAGAAAGAAAGCAAGACCAAAGTGGAAAATCCTTCTGATAAACCTGGAGAAATCTAAAAGGCAACATCCCAGGTCTGGATTGATGGATCATATGCCATATTCCACCAAAGTCCAGAACTCATCCACTTTGGATTTACAAACAGTTGTCTGTTGTAAGAATTCCACTTACCCATGGAATTAAGGAGAGGATGTGGAACACTGTCCCACCAAGAACCAAAGATTTCGTTTTTGGATTTATGAGGAGATAGTGGACCCCCTCCTACTGGTCCTGCTCCTACTGACATCTGGGAAAACACTTCCAGGGACCCAGGTAGGAGGGTCCCCAACTTATCTGAGAGTGGAGAAAACTCAACATTCCAAAGGTAAATCCTGTGTCCTCCACCCCAGCGACTGGAAACTGGGTGTGGTAAGGAATCCCGAGATCCACTAGTAGAAGTAAGGGGGAACATATGCATTGGGGAGTCCCGAGGAACAGGGCTCCGGAGACAGTGCAACAGGTGAACCACGTTCCCTAATTTTTAAAAGCAAACTGATCTCGACTGATTCAGCTCTAAGATCAGCAGGGACTGGCAAAATCCGCTTTAGCTTTACTCATGATAGTCCATGAGCAGCAGTCCATTAGAAATATTGTAATAAGATATCACCATCCAGAATTGGATCCAGACGGTCTTATGTAACAGCTCATCTTGACAGAGCCCATTGCAACCAGGAACCAATATAAAGGTTGCTATTGCAGAATTTAAATACAAGTATACCCGACTCAGCAGCGCTCGCCACTGAGTGGGATCCAAAAAAAAAATCAATAGGGACCCTAGAAGAGAAACAAACAATAACAGTAAGTCAGATAACACGCTACTCACAACCCTGTTAAAATCTAGTAAAGGTAGCCAACACAGCCACAGGGAAAAGCTGAAGTCCCTTTGAAGAGGAACTTGCCAGATCGTGAAGGTAATGAGATATGAATGTGTTGAGAGAAGTCCACATACCAGCCCGCAAAATATCTCCCAAGAATAAGGACAGAAGTGATTAAGATAAAGGAATGAGGAGTGGAAGGAGGGGGCCTTGAGACACAAAGGGATGAACCTGCACAAGTGCAAGTGAAAGTAGAATAGGGTTGAGCAGCCAAAGACAATAAAGAAGACTGCAAATGTGTTTTATCAACTCTGGCTTCTAAAGATTCTGGAATTCCAGCAAATAAATAAGGCCAAAGAAAATGCGCTTCCCGTAAATCTCAAAGGGCAGAAGAAGGTAAGTGAATACCCTCGAAAAATTCATTACGACTCAACAAGTCCCAGCAACAGACTAACCATGACACCAAAGCAAGTCCTGAAGAGGACAAACATGTCATAGTAGTGACCAGTAAATGGCCCAGTTTGTCGTCATATTGTTGAGGTGATCAGTGATATGCCTCAGACAAAAGGTGAAGGGAAAAGATGTATCTTAAAATAGTAGTAAGAGTCAAACGAATCCGCGAACATTGTGACCTGTTAAATGAGCTAACAGGTATGTACCTGGCACCCCATAGATCCAACAACAGATCCAACCTTTGAATGTCCAAATATATATAATCCTGACAATGATACACCACTAGTGAAAGAACAAGCAGGAAACAGGGAGTCTAAATTCTCCCCAGAACATCCTGTTTCAGAATGAAAATTAAAATCCCAGAGAGATACCTCAGGCCACCTGAAGAACTCGATCTCACCCTGATTCAGGTCATGGACAGCTTACACGGAGAGTAAAGTTTTGCAACTTAGATATTGCTGAGAGCAGTCAAGTGGGGTATATATAAAGACTGGAGAGAGTGCACACAATGTTAGATGGCAAAGATGAAGATCAAGAAATAGCTATTAGTGTCAGCAGAGGTATGTATGGTTTGGAACATGTTCTCTGTATTTGACCTTATTAAGAAGTTCAAGATTTTCGTATGTTTCCTTCAAGTGAACCGAATGAGCAATAGGAACAGATACATATATGTTACCACTGACAAGGAGAACACCTTTTAGACTTCTTTTGGAGGAATCAAAGAACAATCGCCACTCACTTGGTTCATAGACTGAAACTCCAAGCATTGGTATAAATTCAGCAATATTGTTGCAATAAACCAGTGAACCTTCTTGTGAAAAGTATGGTATAAACTCTTTCTCATAATT